TAGAAATCCAAGCATCAGACGCCACAAAAGCAGATCCATCTTCATCCAGCGATCCGTAGAGCTCACGTGCAGCCAACCCAATCCATTCTCGTGTGACCTTCTCGGCGGTCGATAATAGCGTCCAGTAGTAGGTCCTCGGGAGTTCCTAGAAGTGGTCTGCGACCACCACCTTTTAGCCGTTTTTGGCAAGGTTGAGTCCTCAAAATCTCGCCCCTGTTGCGCCACCACTTTCAAAATGTGGCAGCATCAACACTCCACCCTTTCTTACAAAAGAGAGGCGCCGCGCGACTCGGCACGCCACCAACTTGCTCGCCGATCCACTTGATCGCCTCCTGCGTCTTTCCGAGCTCAATTGCTTGACGCATGGTCGATTTCAAAATAACGGCCCAATGTAAGGTGTTTACAGCGGCCTTTTATTTGAAGAGGTCTTTTAATCGAAGCGGTATTTTCTTTCTAGAACATTGTCGAAAATTCGATGGGGGCTTGTAATAGTAGAAGGTCTTCTATTCGTAAAAATCCGTAAGTAGCAACTGCTCTTAAAAGGTTAAAGAAATAACTAAATGCAACGAACCCAAATATAGTAGCAGTCACACACACTAAAATACCGCATCATTATTATCCGGACACAGCCCATAAACACTTGCAACCTTTCAACAACCATGCGGGAAACTCTTCAGATACATTGATAGCTTCTACGAGGGCTGAGGTGACACTTACATTCTTACGACTACCCTGGTCACTCCAGTCACGTACAAATTTACGATCTCCCCACAAACTGGTGAAGCTACACTGCTACTGTGAGCGTGTCTTATGATTATGCTACCGTTACGTCGTCTCACTCCGAATAAAGTTAGACCTGATGTGTCGGGACTTACAGTTGCCTGTCTCCATCGACTTCAAAGCCGGCTCTATTTCTCTCTTCTACGATCCTCGCTACCCCCGCCTTAACATAATACCTTGGGAGACCGTGGTTCACAATCGCTAATCCCTGTCTCATCCTGAGACCGTGGCCCTGTCTTCTGATCGTACTTAGCATTTACTTTGCTGATCAACGCGAACAATGTCAGGTTCTACGCCAAAGCTACCGCAGCTTTAACGTGCTTTTGCTTCCTACCAGAGGTGGGCTCATGACTCACCCAAGCTCCACTCGAAGAGAAGTTCGAGGCGCCTAAAGCAATCGACATCCGTTCAATCCATGGCTCATGACAGTAAAGCCACGTCATATTTAAAAGGAAAATCGCATCTCGACATCAAGTCCAGGACTAGACAACGTTCCTCGCTTTCAATATGACCGAATTTCAAGGAGTTAACAAAACCTTCTTGAGCAATTAAAAAATAATGCCCTTGCTCTCCATACAAGACGCAAATATGGTAACAGTATCAGTACTTTTCATTCCCGCAAACTGTGCGCGGTTTTTGATTGTTGCGCGTCGTGCAAGCTTCCACGATACCCGTGATTTATCACGACTTTCCACACTTCAGTAAAGCCCGGGACGTAAATTTCATTAACCGACAATCAGGGCTGTGAGCGTCAATTTGATCTAAGTGAGTCGCTTTTCTGATAGCTGGGTCCTATTGACCTCGAGCTGCACAAAATTAAATAAGCTCAACTCTTTTCAATTGCCTTACGCCTACTGTCATTTTATATTTGTCCGCGGGAGGGGTTACTAGACAAATTTGTATAATCAATCCATCTTTTTACCGTTTGGACCTTGACAGAAGAAGCACTCCCACCGGTATGAGCCCTGGCCCGACAAGAAAGTCAAAGCCATGGTATACACACTCGACACACCATTGGTGAGGGCTGCTTGCTGTCGTGCCAGATTGGCAGGCATTCGAAACCGGTCAAGTGATGTTTCGTTTAGGACACCAATTCTGGAACTTCTAGCACGTCGCCAATCCACAAGCAGGTTACACCTACACCAAACAAAGCTCCACATACCCCTCTCCAGTCGTTTTCTATGATTCGTGCCTTGGTATCTCGTTATTATGTACACTATATAGATCTAAATTGTGCACACCATGATTCTGCTGCTGTGTGCAACATCTTGTCGCTGCATCATGGGAAACCGAAGTGTCATGAAAGGCGCAAAGACTACAAAACGATATAAATCTGGCTAAATGCCTACTGAGACATCACAAATAGCGTGTTACATGAATTTGAAAAGGTGAGTATTCGTCACACAAGTTGCATATATAGCGTACCACGTTGACTAGAATTTAGGAACATACAAGCAATACTGCACAAGATTTGCTTAACGAGCTGGCCAAAATATCTTATCGTAGTCTGCACAATTTGATACCTTGTCACCTAAGCACAGTAGACCAAGTCTAACAGCACTTATTTTGAAGAAAATGGACCCTTGAAAAGCAAGATATATTGACAAGTGGTAGTTTTTACTGCTAAAATGAGTGTCGAGGGCTTCAAAGTCTTGTCTTTTCCCTTTTGTGACATGTTTTTGATTTACAAAACGCGGTCTTCTCTGGATTTATCCGAAATCATTTGCAAAACGCGGCATCTCCAAATTTTTTCCAAATTCATGCCGTTCGAGGTCACGAGACTATAGCAACTACTTTTCGAGCGGTGTGATGTAGCCGACAAGTTTAGTAAGGGCCAAAATTTGCGATCCCTAAACCTGCCTTCCACCTTTTGCTTCTACTGACTGAACAGATTGAAGCAACTTTGGCATGAAATAACAAGCTGGACATGCAGCTGATTAGGCATGATTTTGATTTTTTAGCCGCTGATAGAAAAGTTCAATCGAGTGCACTATGTACTCTTCTGTGTATTGTACATCAAATCAAGTATTTTGATACTTCCAAGTCCAGATGCTGCTGTCCAACTTCCGAATCGAAGCACTGCATATTCATAGTGATCTTATGCGTCAGGTTAAATAAGATCCCCCACCAACCTACATTTGCCTGGTTTCGCACCTAGTAAAGCATATATGAGCATTTACACAACAGTGCTAAAATCTAAAATCACGAAGTCAAGCAGGTTCTATGCTGGATTTGTCTCTAGTAGAGAATAGACCAAAGTTCTTGAATTCTATCCGACTTTTATTTTGACCCATTAAAAGCGCATTGCTCATTTCTGGATTTAGAAAGACCTGCATAATAAACAAGTTAAAGCATCTCCCTATGCCCATACAGCACCAGATGTGCAAGGCTTGCCTTTCACAGATCACGGATCACAGATCTTTAAGTCATTTTGCTGATATGCTTTTGGACAAACTTAGTGAAAAGGCCGACTAGAATTGCTGTAGAACACTTCGAAACATGTCTTTGCATGTGTAATGCTGCAACGTTATGAAAATGCTGGAAGCGATCAATCTCTTTCCATATCAGAGAGCTAACGGCCGCCGAGACAAGCTCTCTGATGATGAATAGTGTCTCATTGTCTACGATGAACTCATAACATCGATTAATTACATACTCTTTTTTCGTCTAAGCAGATCACCCGATATACCAAGAACGATATATCAGAGAATATTAGGTAATGTATTGTGAAAACTAGCATACGAATGTACGTGTGCTTCCTGCCAGTATGTTGAGACGGTTAGCCGCGCGTCAAGTTATATAAAGAATCTTTTTTCTGGTGACTGGTCAGCGTCGATTTTGTCTACTGAACCTAAATATCTTATACATCTGTCAAGCACGAGAATGAGACTTACAAGGTTTTATGCCGACACGACATAGAGACAATTCGCAAGGCTACTTTTCAGTAACGCATTGTTGTCAAAGTTGAGATAGATACTGCAAATTTCTGAATATATCTGAAACTTCAATACGCTTGATAGAAAAATGACAATGTCACCAGCAGCTGACCAATCGCGAAAAGGGATTGACCGATTGTGCAGGAGAATACGTATTGCAATTCATATACGCTGATACACCGCATACAGTTGGCTATCTCAGATAGATGTTGTATTAAACAATATGAATTTAGCATCAAACCGTATAAAATCATTGCGTAATCAGGCGATGCTGCACTTAGAGGTCCGTCTAATTTCTGGAAGGAAAAGGCCTTCTGAAAAAAGTGGTGGGGAAAGCCCTATCTTAAATATGAAGGCCCTTCTATATAAACAGCCATCAGCATTTGCTAGAGATTGGTTGAGCTATAAGCTAACACCGCACAATACACGATTGCTCAAAGTTAATTCTAGTAACGGGGTGCAAACTGTCCAGCTCAAGAAAGATTGCTATTATCGAATTACAAACCTGGATCTACTTTTTGGCTCGTTAGTGATCGTATCATTCTATTTGTGCGCTTCATTACGAATGCTAAATGTTGGTCACCAAATCGTTCTGACCTCCCCTTACCTGGCCATCAAGAGAAATGACAATGCTACGAGCGTTTTGCTCCTTCAAAGCTCATAAATTATTGCTATGGCAGACGAAACACGTTACCGCGTGCTGGAACATTTCTGAAACACTTGCTCGATGAGAATATGGTGCTGAAGCAAACAGTATATTGTCATGTGTCGAGGGTACGACGGCAAGGCTGGTATCTTTGGTGTGCGAAAGCATCATGCAGATGCCAGAGACAAACGGGACACAAACATTTTTAGCGTAATTGTTAGACGCTGTTAATCCAGAAGTCTGCAGGCTATTAGCTAAACTGAGACTTTGCTACACTGGACCGTCTCGGTCGTACAGCAATTTTTTTTCTTTTGAAAACAATACGATGACATCATTTATTTTACGTGGGCTTGTTTAACCATACCACGATCCCGCTCCACGGAGCCATTCGGACACGAACGCTCTAGTGAAGACAAAATCGTCTTTTGTAGCTGGCGACCTTCTGTTCTAGGGCAGAAATACATCTTCGAACCGTTCGGGGTGCCTCAAGCATTTCCGTACGATGGCGTAGTATGTAGAGTTTATCTGAGACCTGGCTCAAATTGGGGTTGGTTGTGTGCCAAGGTTCTCGGATGGAGTCGAGATGCCGTTATCATTGATCGAGCTAACGAGAATCAAATACGGAGTGTCGCCTAATGTCCTCGCTCCTGGGTGAGAGCGATATGACATATTGCCAGTAGAACAAATAGCGGGTCAACGGGCTCGTAACTGGTATCTGATGAAGCGGAAAAGATATTCTCGCCACAAGTACTCATGTATGACTGGGACTTGCTTTATCGAGATCGCCCTGGCGCATCACTGCCCTCTTTCTTTCTCTCCGATGAAAAACGAATTGAGCCGCCTAGCGCTTTTCAGTCGCAAGATGGGTCGGCAATGTTCCATGTTTTAGGCTTGTACTGCAGGCCAAGGAGATGAGTAAAGTTATCGACAGCAAAACCTTGCAAAAATTTAAGCATTCACCTGAACATCCAAGTTAGCTAGTTTATCTTGCAATGTCAAGCATCAAACGACATTCCTAACAAACTTCTGTTTACTGAAGGTGGAACCGGTTGAGTCAGTGTACCTTCACAATCAAGCACGCGAAAGTTTCGGCACTATCACCAGCACTGAGTAACATGGATATAATCCTCACAAAATGTCCAAATTTGTTTGACTTCTGCAGCGCAAGACACAAGCGTACCGATTGGTGATCAGAAGAGTCAGAAAGAGCTCGCTTGACTCTCTGTAAGGGTTAAAAGCCCACACGAATTCTGATGAGAGGACTCCACCCCGGCAGGGCGTCAGGCGATTTCTAATGATCTTCATCCATAATTATGAGGTGATGCTTTGAGAAAGGGTTTGAACGACTCTTGCGATATATTGCGAACAAACTTATATTGCTGATCTAGGTTCATACCATTGGCAAACAGTTGGACATCGTCGTGATCGCGATTATATTTTGGAGACTATATCGCCAGAGAGAATACACCAAACTTCAAAGCACTGGTGAAGCGCAAGGCGAGTCCCTTCCTCGGTACCGCAGGTCTTTCGGTGAGGACAAAAGTGCTGGGCTGGAACTCATCGAATCACTTAAATCGACCTCATCCTCTGCCATCTCACTGAGATTGGCTTGCAAAGTCGAACATTTTATAAGAATTCGCTGAGCTATAAAAGTCCGCTAGAGAAGGAATCCCTGATGCAGTAGATGCTCATACTAGCAAGCATTGTAAGATGAAATCGGAGGCAAAGAATTCCGTGCGCAGTGGGCATGCAGCGTCATAACAGGACAAACAATATGTGACCTCTATATGCTGCATTCACATCCTGATGGGAAGGATGAAGCGGGGCTGCCGTACTCTTTCGGTTAGGGAAGCTTTGATAAGGTCGGTGACTTCGTTCTATATTAAGAAACCTAGCAGATCGCAATCCGTTTAGTCCAAGAGTAACTACAACCTTTAACCCAAGGCTGATAAACTCTTCCGTTTGAGATGTAATCTAATATCTTGGTTATATTCGCGACAAAGCCGCTTATATCTAAATCTACAGGTTTTTCAAATTATATAGTAAAACCATATTAGATCTGTAACTACTGGCTGTTTCAGCCACGTACTGACTTGTTGTTTTAGTGTAGCCACATTCTGTGGTCACACCATATTGGGTAACCCAAGCCATTGTTTGTTCACACCATTTCGTGTGGCCCAGAATTTTCGTACAAGGGTACGTGAAACCCCCATTACCCCATCAAGATTGTAAACACCTACAGTTCACATTCATATGTCGCCTGGAACGAGGCTCGCGTATCTATGACACCACAATATCACCAGGACTTTTCTCAATTCGTCTGCCTGTGTTGAGGAAACGGGAGACACTTAGCGTCGCTAGTTTCGAGAATGCCCGCTGGCAGAGCCCTTCTTCATCTCCTGCACGCGGTGCAACTCCGGAAAGTACGTCAGCGGCTTCAAGGAAAGCACAGCTCAAGCTCTCGGTAGCCGAGGTCAGTGACAGGGTCGCACGATGAAGGATACAGACGCGATGCCTATTCTCCGACCGCACATCGCCCGCCACGCGCGATGGATTACCTCGTCAAAGATTTGGATGAAGTCGACTACGAGCTGGATACTCCTTTCCCGAAATGAAAAGAAGCAGAGGCGAAATACCCCAGCGGCGCGACGTTAGGCCTGCTCGAACCTTGCGGAGGCCGTGTCCTTATCCCAAACTCTCGACTTTTGGGGGAAGTGGTATCATTACCAATGCTCTTGACGAGACACAGAAGCAACAGCTGGATGCTGTTTGCAGGACAGCTCTCATTTTCGCGTATCCACGGACGGTCTTTGACTCTCGCGTAAAATACGGCTTCCTCTCCTCGGACCCCGCTACAGAAGCCAAGGACGCGACCACTCGATCGTTGGGCGTCTACGTGGTAGGGCCTCCGACAACTACGTAAGCTGAATTTGACGAACCAAAAGTTTTCCGAGCTTGCTTCTTGGTCCTTTAAGGAATCTCGGCGGACACGTACCGCACTCGACTTCGTGCTCAAAGTGGAGTCACTGTACCCGCGATGCGGTCGATTCTGGTGGTGCTCGCCCCTGGCAAAACCGCTGCAAATGACGAAGGGATCTTTGAGCGATGGATGCAGCTGCACCGATAACTTTCCTTGCTGGATCCTTTGAAAGGTAGAACCGCGTGTGGAACGCCATCTACCATTTGAGTTTGCCAAACCCAAGGCACGTCGCCGACTTCCTTCGGATGTCGCATTGCGACGTATAAGGTGATCCCTCACGCTCCCGCAAACACTATGGTCTCTCACACGGGTGAGCCTGCGACACTAACGGCTCAGGACCATAGCTTGAGCTCGGCTCATGGTTCTTCGGCTTCACTGGCTATTGCCGAGAAGCGCGGTGTGTACGACGTCGCAGAACGCCATGATCCCTCTGAATATAAGCGTCAAGACGTATACGCAGTCTTGACGAAGTGACACTTCAAACTCCCACTAGTTATCGAAGTCGGTATCCTCGCCACTTCACAAGATAGTGGGGATGACCCTGGCGACGACGTCGACCCACAAGATGTTCCACGTAATAGTGGCAACCACCATTTTTTCGAGAAAAGTTGGCGGCGGACGATGACGACTTGGTCGATCGCCGTCCGAAGATTCACGATGCTCTTCGAGCTCATGAAGACAAGGTCCGTCACTTTCGGGAACCCGCTTAGTATCATACTGGGGTCGTATACCGCTGTGCGGAAGTCCTCGAGGGCTTGAAGCACTTTGTGTACCGGCTGCCTCACGTTGAGAACTGTCTTGCTCTATCATAGCAGCTCCTAGCCGCTGATCATACGAATGCGACGTTGAACACGAAGGTGGAGCGCTTGGTGCCGTTGAAGATGGAGTTCGTTGCATTCGTGCTCATAACCAGTTGTTGGTCTAGCTTCTGGGTGATCGAGCACCAATTGGCGCCGGTCTGGCGCCAACACTCCGCGTTCGCTCGCGCTAGACCTCGGTCCGGCTTGAGCAAGCCCACATAAAATACCGGGTAACAGCGCATCCTTCTCAAAAAAATCAACATATACGCAAGGCCCCACTTGGCCAGGACCCCGAAAGGTCCGATGTCCGTGGTCGGAGCTTTATCTTCAAGACAGCAGAAATTGCATCGGTAGAAAAGTATTATAGCATTTAATGAAACCAGGTTTCCGACATCAATGTCTTTATCATTTCTTTACCTCTTCCGTATGCATATTCCTTCTGCATGTCTTGGATTTCAGCCATCGCATCGCAAACGTGTCGTAAGACACTCAGTCTGGTAAGCAAGAAGTCATCGACTTCTTTACCAACGATGAGAGGGCTGACATCAGCTAGCCGCCCGACTATTCCTCTCTCACCAAACCCTGAGCCATGAGATGGTGGCGTCAGCGGGACGCGAGGTTGAACGATCCCGTTCACGTAGAACAGTGTGTAGCCGGTAGACGGGTACACTGTATTATTCAAAGCAAACGCTACGAGTAGCAGCATGGCGGTCCAGAGCCTTGAAGTCTTAGCGCAGACGCTGCGAAAGAAGTCCTCGAGAACGCGACTCACGAACTCTGTTTGATCATCGATCTGCGGATGTTACGTCGCTGACATATCCAGCTTGGTGGCCAGCTCCTCAAAGATCGTTGACAAAACTAACTTGGGTCTCTGACAGAGACAATTGACTCCCGATGTCCATGTTGTCGGATGACACGATCCACAAACAGCCTCACTGTACCGACACCCTCGATGGTGTCCGGCACCGCCACAAGACGAGCAGACTTGCTCAAACGGTCGACAAAGACTACCACAGCCGTGTGGTCCGCCGCGTCCTTCGGCAAGCCAAACACAAAGTCTAAACCCATAGATTGCCAACATTGAGGGGGAATCGGCAAACTGGCCAGTGGCACCGCCACATTGGGAGAGAATTTCACCCTTTGACACCTCTCACACTTGCGCACATAGGTGCTAGTCCATTTGTACAACTTGAGCCACTGGTATTAGAAACTAACAGAGCTATAGATCTTCTCCCGACCGAGATGACCATTGAGTGGGGGTGTTGTGAGCCTCATAGAAGATACGGTAATCCAAATCCACCGTGAGGAACCACAATCGGTGGCGTATTCGTCGAATCGGTGCTATAATTCAGCATTCCATTATTCAATGAATACTAGTGCAACCATGCATGCCGTCGCGACGACAACTTCTTGTCCGAATTTCCAAACTCTTGCTTCCGAGGGCCTGTAGTAGCGCTACGCAGATATCATCACCCGTGTATAAGGCGCGGATCTAATCCGTCACTGAAGACGTCACCGTCGTGACATGAGCAAGCTCATGATCCGGTCTGGTAATACCCATCAACCAAGTCGAGCGCACTGTACTTGGTACAGCCAACCATTTTGTTCTGGAGAATATCCTTCCTAGGAATTGGCACCTGTGCCGGAATGGCGGCAGCGTTTGTAAGCATAAACGATACGCCACTCCGTTTCGCTTCCGAACACTCGGTTTCCCAACACGATTCCGCATCCTTTGTAAAAAGATTCGCCAATGGCTGTGCCATTTCCATTTAATTCGCGCTACACTTGTGCATGTAGTTGGCGAGTCCATGCCACTTGCGTAAATCCTTATAGAACTTTGGAACTCGGCAGTCCACAATGGTCTTGACCTTAGCGGGATCCAATCGAAGGCCACGCTTCCTGATGAAGGAGGAAAAAAATCTACGGCACCGAAGATGCACTTATCTGCATAAGCATACATCATATTTGTGCGCAAGCACTCCAGCACCGCTCTTAAATGAACGATGTGGTTCTCTTCATCTTGCTCCGCACGACTGTTGACGAAGATGTCGTTAAAGTATATTCGTGCATACGGCCGGTGGGACCTGGACAATGCATCACAAGACGATTAAATGTTGCTAGTGCAGTTGACAGCTATTAGGTCATCACCTGCCACTTGCAGAGCATGCCGCTCGGAGTACTCATCGTTGTCAGCGGAATATCACTCGCTCTCATGACCAATTGGTAATACCCATCGACCAAGTCGAATGCACTATACTTTGTACATCTAACCATGTTTTTCTGAAGAACATCCTTTCCAGAAATCTGTGGCAGCGTTGAGCTTTTTGTAAGCGTGGACGATATGCCACTTGCCGTTCGGCTTCCGGACACAAAATTTGGGTGTTGAATGGAGACACTCGCTCTCACACACCATTCCTGCGTCGTGCTTCACACGGAAAAAGACGTCATTGACGTCACACTGCTCCTTGGGCGGGGGACATTGGCGTGTTATGCACTACACTATTTGAAGGTCGGTCTCATGACGCACATCTCAGTCTGGAAGTAGGACCGAAGGCTAGTCTTTGGAGACGACGTCTTGAAATTCTTTTGCTAGGGGATAGTACGGATTCAAGATAAAGATCTATTTCGTCTGTTCAGCACGCTCTTGGTGTCCTCCAAGACAGCTTCATCCAAAAGCGACGACGAGGTGATCTTCTTTTCTGGTTCTATAATGAACACCACGGCTAAATTATCTGTCTTCAAGGCACCGTTAAACATTCTGATAGACATCTCGTCGAGATCAAGAAAAGCATCCCGCAGGAGTAGCTTCAAGGGTTGCGTCACCGCCCCCTCCCGTCATACCCTTGACGAGCGTGTATAGCTGTGTGCTTTCGCCTACGGTAAACACATCCTGGGTCTCCTCTCCACAAAAGTGTTACGTCTCTTCAAGACCAGTGGTATCACGCGCTCAGCGTCGTCCAGTGTTAGTCACACTTCCTGCTTCACTGCAGCCCTGATATTTTAGCGACATCCGACGAAGAGCTTATAGATCCGCAGTCTTCGTCCATTAGATAACGTGCCACTCCACGCGCATCTGAAGGGCAATACCCAAGAGGTCTAGACCCTTGTCTGACCATGCCACGAGTGGCATGCAGCATCTGCTTCGAAACGTGAGCAGTGCTTAGTGGATTACGTGTCACTCCTTGAGTCTCGCACTCGATACCGCCGCCCTTGGCCGATCATGCCGCACATAACATGCAGCGACTGCTCCGATACTTGAGCAGTACTCAGTGGGTTGATGCCACTCAGCCCGCGAGACATGCTTGGGGCTACAGTCCGATAAAACTTTGGTGTTCACCAACTCGGATACTCCGATCTCCAGCAGGTTGGCCGTCTTGGTCCAATACCCGCGCCAATCGCGTTTTTGCCTCCTTGCAGAGGTGGGTAATGACTCATTGAAGCTTTACCAGGAGATGTGCGCGTGGCGCCCAGGGTCTTCGACGTCCAATCGATTCATGGCTCATGGTATTCTGGTCTTGTCGTACAAAGAATGACATCATACCTCGATTTCGATTCTAAGACTAAGCAGCGTTTCCCGCTATCAAACTCAAGAAACTAGACACCGAGGTCCCCAGAGACCTTCGACACACAGTGACTTATGTCTTCATTGCTAAGCGATCAGTGACGGTGTCACTCAACCGCGCTTTCAGCGCCTTAGCATACAGCTGACTACCCTCCGTCTTGGGGCGTCGAGCATCATTGCCTGAAGCCCCGGAGTCGATAACGATTTTTCATGGCTTCTCTAAGCCCTTCACAGCCGCTTCCACGCCAGCAAGATCGGCTTGCATACACGTTCCGTGTTGAAAAGCACGGAGCTTTTCGGAGACTGACCTTGCTTCCGTCTACCTCCTTGAGTGTCAACATAACTCAGTTCTACCCCAGTAGGCGCGAGGTGGCCTACTGGATGCTGTCATTTCTCCGCAACAAACCAGAAGACTAGTAAGAAGCGGAATGTGAGTTCGTTGTACCTTGACGCCCCTTGCGTAGGGTACAACAAGACGTAGGGTGACGAACGTCTCCACAGACAAAACATTGTCGGGTATTCAAACGCTGCTCGACAGCTCGATGCTCTCCCTCCTTTTTCTCAGCATAGCTGAGATTCATCGTCTCAGGTCCGCTTGACGAGCTGCTAGAGTGTGGATTCTAACCAAGTTGTGCCGACTTAAAGTATTCGGCATTCCATACCACATTCACTGCTTCTTCAAGAGAAGACGGGTGCACACGTATGACTGTCATTCTGACCACGCCAAAGCGGAGGCCCTCTATAAAGACGGTCAGTGTGATTGCCTCGGGAAGAGAAACGACTGCCACTCCGGCGATGAGAGTGCGCAACCCTTGCACAAAGTCCACCAAATCCATTTTGCCCTATCAGGCGGCAAGGAAACACGATCACACGCGATATGCCTGGTTAGGTGGCGAAAAGACAAGCGAAAATCGCAGCTTCAGCTTCGTCAAGGTGGGAAACGCTGTTTCAACCGATGTGCCATACGTCAGTGCCCATTCTCGAGCTCGACCACCAAGCTTGGAGATAGCTATCGCCACGTGCTGTTACTCGGTCTAGAGCATGGTCGACGTCATGACCATCTTAACTTCTCTTACCCAGAGCAGGAGATTCTCCGCATCCTTGCCCTCGAAGGGATTTATCACTCACCATGAGCGGATTGGGTCGGAAGAAGTTATCTGTCGTCGAAGCCGCCATCTTCTGCTGAAGGGCCTATAGGCGTGCGCAGATCGCTTCAGGTCCGTGCGAAGCGAGGTGTTGCACGACCTCAGGGCCAAGCAGAGACATCAGCTTCTTTAGCCCGTCCTGCATGCCCTGGTGCATATAGGAAAATTGCTCTATCCTCACAGAGAGTCAGTCGTATTGACTCAGGTGTAGATTGACTATAAGTGCTACCAAGTACAGCGGGACTGCCGTAGCTCTTTCGCTTTGAGGAAGCTTGGTTAAGGTCGGTGACCTTCGTTCTATGCTTAGAGCCAGTACGATTGTAGCGGATCGCAATCCGCTTACTTCAGAGTAACTACAACCTCAACCCAAGGCTAATTAACTCCTCCGTTTAAAATGTCAGCTGCATTTCTTGGTTTTATTTGCGGCAAAGCCGCCTATTCTATAACCTTAGGCTAATTTTATAGTAAAATCATATCAAATGTATTTCTGGCTGTTTCAGCCACGTACTCACGTGTTGATTAAGTGTAGCCAGGTCACACCATCTTGTGTCACCCAGACCATTGTGTGATTAAACCATCTTGTATGACCCACACCCTTTATACCAGGGCACGTGAAACCCCGTAACAAAGTGTGTAAGGGGTCATATGGTGCAGATTATTGTATTTCCGACTTGAAGCACAGCTCAGAAATACTACAGTAAATTTGGTTCAGACGCGGATGACGATGAGGTCTGTGAAACACATAGGCTGGTCACATACTACATAGATAGTTTTGGTATCGATCATAAAAGAAGATAGTTATCAGAATAGTTAAAATGAGACTTTATTTAAGTTCATGTCACTCATTGCCAAGTTACTGTAGAAGTTCTTGGTATTGCGTTCGCATCAATTTCATGCACTTAGTAACGCAGACTCGTTGATTTAAACACTTATCCTGTCCAAGTTGCAGATAGGACCAGCATGAGCAGGTATCAAGCGATGGAAAGCGTCCATAATTTAAGACCCTTGGTGAGGTTTAGTAAAGAAAAAGTTGTCTTTACATATAGGAGAGCCGCACAAATCATTTTGTTGCGAGAAATTGTAAAGCAAGAGTTTTCCACTTGGTAAAAACAGAACTCTGTGTTCCTAACATGTTGCTCCAGCAATAAACACTGTTAACACTATTTTGGTGTTGTACACACAAATTAAACATTAATCATCTATTGCCCTCCAATCGTCTGCTAAAAGCTTAGTTGTACAAGTCTCTAAGTTCACGATGGCCAAGAGTTTGCGCTCCAAGATTAAGAGAAAGTTTCGCACGGAGCTGCGTAAGCGTGTCGGCGTGCCACATCAAGTTGCTCAGGAGGCAAAAATCCAAGAGAGTCTTAAGAAGGCGATCGCTGCCCAAGGTAAAGCATGTTTTCAATCATCGACTATTTATCACTCTTACAATAAGTTAATTGCAATTAGGCACAGGACGATCAGTCGCAAGTCTCAAGAAGTTATTGGGCGCATCGGTGCCGGTACCAAGTAGTGAAATTACTGGTGTTGTCTCGGATCAGATGCCAGTGGATGCTAAGGAAACCGACGTCTCCATGGAGGACGTTAAAAAGTCCAAGAAGGGCAAGAAATCCAACAAGAAGCGGAAATCTAAATTTGTGCACTTTCACCAATTACGCAAGAAGGGTGTTTAAATTCTCAAAGCAGTATATTGCGACCAAATGACAATTCTAGATAGCACGAGCATGGAGGTGGTGTGTAAATTGCAATTGTCCAATGTATTTTATAGTGTTTATGCCCAGTATTGTGCTAGTCATCCCAATCGGTACTTTCTGTCGCTTCTTGAAAATTGATCTGCTTGTCGTACTGATAACCAGCTTGTTCAGGAAGAAGAATGTTTTGCTGAAAAACGATATCCATTTTCTGTTTTATTTGCTTAAGTTGTGTCTCCGAGACGCGATTATAGTCAGCTTGTGGTAAGATAGAATTTGTGGTTGGTGGAGGCTCTTGAGCTGATCTCTGATGATTAATAAGCTTTCGAACGAGTCGATCCAACTACAGTAACCTATCGATTAGCCATTTCCACGCTGTTGACAAATAAAAAATTACCTGAGTTGACCGAATTTTGCAGTTTCCGACAAAGTCTGGATGTTGTTTGATGATACTGTTAACAATTTCATTTATTCGATATTCCTTATGGGATCAGCATCACAGTCATAACGTGGCATATTAGAAATTACACTCTTTGAACACATACATTGAATCTGCTTGCACTCAGCGATAAGAATTCTGTTTTTAAGTTAATGACGTGGTGATATAGCTCTTTTACTGGCCCTTTATGGTAAGTATACTCGACGACGATGCTGGGAGGTTCATATTGGAGCGCTAGTCGTCGAGGTTCGATCATTTTTATCACCAAAAATGCACCGCACTACTCACTTTCCAAATATAAAAGTTAATAATATCTCATTGTTAATATATTTGCTGTACACGACTCAATCGTTCAGCCTATTTGTCGTTTACCACAACACATTGACCTAGCAATACTTCCATTTTTCCATTCAATATTCTCCTTCCACACCCTTGCGTCGCCTTCGTATTGTTCATTTTTCCAAATTGGTACCGTGGCTTTAAGTGTATCGATAGCAAAAGCGCACGCTTCCAGCGCCTCCCGTCGATGTGGCGAGCTGACAGCTACAACGACACTCGCTTTTGCTACTTCAACAATACCTAGACGATGGAACAAAGCCACACCCACGACATCCGGCCACTTTTCACGAAGAGTGGTGCAGATTTTGCGTAGCTCGGTTACTGCCATTGGCGTGTAGCCTTCGTACTCGAGCCGTACTACCTTTTTGCCTACAATAATATATTAGTGTGAACCCACTTATTCCAGACCACAAAGTAGTGCAACAAAACCTTGAAAATTATCTCGAGTGGTACCTAGGAACGTCGAGATGGCACCTGCTTTAGGGTGTGTCACCAACGCTACTGCTCGTTGGTCGTCCAGTGGTTCATATCCCACTTCGACAAAGTCACCTCGTCCAGCCTCCTCACTTGCATACGACTTTACTGTAGCCATTTTTTTCAACCTAAGATTAAAATAGTATTTTGTCTAATTTATTCTTTTTGTAAAGTATTAATCATGGCGGCCGAGCTTTGGCTGTATCTCGATGCCGTCACGGGCGAGCAAAAAGGCCCTGTGCCATCTCCGATCATCAAAAAATTGCTTCGTAAAGGTCTTATTCAGCCCCAACAACTTGTTTGGACTCAGCGTCTTTCCGAGTGGAAGGCAATTGTTAGCGTGGAACCGTTTGCAGCGTATAACCGCGCGTGGAGGACAATGTGGTATTATATGGCTGAAAACTTGACCGATACCAGCAAAGAGGTAATGCGGGCAGGCCCTGTATTGACTCAGCAGCTTGTTGAACTTTTTACCAACGGGGATGTGGATGGAATGACGCTCGTGTGGAGCCAGGAGGTGGATGATTGGAAACCCATTGGTGAGTACCTCGGCTGACGTTGTTGAAAAGCGTTGTTGTAAATATGCAAATATGTTACTATCTCTCCAGGTGACGTGCCGCTTCTAAAAGAATTTTTGCAAGAAGCCAATGACGAGATAGATCGACAATCAGAGCTGAAGGAACAGATTGCAGATGTTCCCATTGAAGACCAAGTCTTTGAAAACGAGTACAGATCTCCATCAATATAATGGACTTTTGATGGCGTATTGACTATCGCAACTAATTTGGTGCTACTAGATCGGCGGATGCTTTTATTGCAGAGGATGGCAAACGATATGTGTTCGACGCTGAGTCTAAGATGTACGTGACTCCAGAAATAAAAATCGAAGACGAATTAGCATCTCTGCGCGAAGCAGTTGCTGACACGATTGCGGAGACACAAACGGATACGACAAACGCAGCTACTACAATCGGGGAATCGACTGATCATGCTGAAATGAATGCAAGCGTCAAAAGAAAAAGAAAGAAAAAAAAGAATCCGGATAAGTGGAAAAAGAGCAAGACAAACACTTGGGTATATGTGAATGGTTTGCCACTAGATGTCACACTTCAGGAAGTCCACGACCATTTTGCCAAGTGCGGTGTGATTCAAACGGATATTGTATCCGGCGAGCCCCGAATAAAGCTCTACGAAAACAAAGAGAGTGGGGGCTTAAATGTAAGTCATGAGGATAGATTTTTGTGAACAAAACTTATATCGATGAGTGCGAACAATTATGCTACACTTTGTAGGGCGATGGATCAATTTGTTATATGAAGGAGGCATCAGTTGAGTTGGCTGTGCAATTACTTGACAAATCTCAAATCCGGCCAGAGTACGTTGACTCAATTGGTGTGACGATATCTTCTCTTCACTGATTTACATGACGTTTTCGCTATTGCAATCAAGGTGGCCAATTGATGTGTCACCTGCTGTCTTTCAGCAAAAAGAAGGCGAGTTTGTGAAGCGAAAGAAAGTTAAGATTGATACACGCGCAAAAATTAGAATGTTTGAAAAAGAAAAGGTGAGTTTTGTTCAGAGAATCTCACTTAGTTGCTCAATTTGCATTGTTTAGGCGCTTTCGTGGAATGAAGGAGAAATTAATGAACCGACTGGGTTTCGTATTGTGGTCATTAAGCACATGTTTACTCCTTCTGAAATTGAAGGTACTTTCGTTATTCCAAGATTTTGTACCTTTAGCTTAGTGTAAACTATGCGTTTCAGATGAATCCTACGAGAAGGAATTGCGAGATGATATTTATGACGAATGCTCGAAACTTGGTGAGGTGTCCAAGATTACACTTTTTGCGAAACGTGAGGATGGTGTTGTGGTGATTAAATTCACTTCGAGCGGTAGTGCTGCGCAATGCGTTGATTTAATGAATGGTCGGTTCTTCGCTGGACGCAAACTAGAATGTAGTTTTTGGGACGGCACAGATTACACTCATCATGAAAGCAAACATGAGGAGCAGCAGCGTGCTGAAAAGTTCCAAGAGTGGCTAGAGGATGCTTCATCGTCTGAGAGTGAAGATGAAAATGAGGAAACAAAAACAGAAGAGGAAGGAAATGTTGTTAAGTCAAGCGAAGTGCACGTAGGGCGTAAGCTGCCTTCTATTACTGATGACAACGACTAGCCGACCCGCGTTGCGGACAGTTAGCGCATATACGGTAGCTGGTCTTGCCTCTCATTGTTAAATGCTTCTTGTTCGTCAGTCGTAAATGTCACGTCCTGCTTGCAAGAGCTTTATCCTCCACAGCGTTTATATGCATCTATCACGCCTATTTATGAGTCGTAAAAAAATTTAATTTCTGTTTTTTAGAGCGGATATCACATGCAAATTTTAATTTTAATTCAAAACCAAGTAAAAATGTTGAAAAATTCTTGACTCCGCGCCTTCTGAGTTTTGTCCGACAAATCAGACTGGTAAGAAGCGGGACGTCGGCTCGATGAACCTTTACGCGCCTTGCGCAGGGGACAACCAGTACGAAGGTGACGGGTGTCTCCACAGATAAAACACCGACGTCGTACTAACGACTGTGAATGAAGCAATGAAGTCTCTATTAATTGTAGGGGACGGCATGATCACTGTCGTCTATTCAAACTCTCGAGACCTGAAGTATTTATTATTGTCAACCTCGTGATCACGAAGTGAGATACGATCGTGCAAGTCTGCCAGTCGCGACAAGGTCTGCACATGACAAGGTTGGACGTTTGCAAGCGACAGCTTCATTTTTTAAGGTGGATCCGGTGGGTGTGGCTGCGCCCGCCATGTCTGTCTCAAGTATGAAATAGATCAATTATGGTCGTTGATTGTCGATCTTACACGTGTTACAATTACTACGTGAGTATTAGCCACCAGTGCTGTTTGACAAGACTGGAAATTAATAATTTATACAACAATATAGACTATCAGCAATCAAGTCAATGTGCAGCTGCTCATCCATTCTCACATTCGCCCCATACAATGGTAACGAAGGAATCATGCACTTGTCGATTCATATGAGCTTAGTTTAGACTATTTTATGCTTTTTTGGGCTCTTCTTCACAACAATCAACCATTTAAAGCATGCATAATTCGGTCATATATGAAAACGTGTATTAAAACATATATCACATTGCTATCACCTGGACGGCCGATACAAAGCTGTATACTTTGCAATTGACCCATTTCTCCTTTGGGGGAAAAACTAAGTCCTGTTGAGCCTCAAAGAGGTAGAGGGCAGCCAGGCCCAGCCCCAAAGAGCTCCAAGCTCTTGAACACGGAAGGTGTATGCAAGCCGGGCTTGCTGGTCGTAAAAGCGACCGTGAAGGGATTTAGGAAGCCACGGAAGGTCGTTATCGACTCCGGATCGTCGTGCAACTATGCTCGACGCTCTACGATCGAAGGAAGTCAGCGGAATGCTGAGGTGCAGGAAGCGCGATTGAGTGACATCGTCACTGTTCGCTTAGCGATGAGAACATGTGTCACGGTGCCGAAGGTCCCTGTGAACCTCGGTATCAAGTTTTTCGACTTCGATAGCGTGGAACGCTGCTTAGTCTTAAACTTGAATTCAAAGAATTACCTTACCCTTGTTATGTCATGGTTGGAACACCATGAGCCACGGATTGATTGGAGGACGAAGACGTTGGGCGCTACGTGTACGTCTCCTGGTGGAGTTTGGCGAGTCATGAACCTACCACTGCTAGAAAGAAGAAGCGCTCCTGGCGCGGGCACTGGACCGAGACGGTTAATGTGCCGATGATGGGACTATCCGAGTTGTCCGAAGGTGTATCAAACAGGAGTCCCGAGCATGGCTCGCGGGCTGAAGGTGGAGTGGCACGTGACCCACTGAGCACTGCTTAAATATCAAAGCAGTTGCTTCATGCCAAGGGTGGCCAAGGGCCGAGGAATCTAGGGCGAGGGCTCAGTGATGCACGTAGAGCGGCACGTAACCCACTGAGCACTGCTCATGTCGAGGCAGTTGCTGAATGCCAAGAGTGGTGAGGTCGGACGAGGTTCGAGGCATCGAGGCATCGAGGGCGATGCCCTAGTGAAGCGCGTGAGATCCACTGAGCACTGTTTATTTTTGAAGCAGTTGTTGCATGCCAATAGTGGCATGGTCGGACGAATTTCGAGGCGTCTTGGAAAAGGCCCTAATGATGCGCGTGGAGCGGCACGTTATCCACTGAGCGAAGCCAGCGGATATAACAGCTCTTTGTCGAATGTTGTATATAACATCAAGGCGGTACAGTGAGTGGAGACACTGGACGGCGCTGAGTGCGTGTTTCTACTGGTCTCGAGGATGAGCAAATCTTCTATAAAACGCAGGGCGTTGACCCTGACCCAGGGTGGGTCTTTCGTAGACGAGCGCACAGCAATACAACCTTGTCAATGGTATGACGGGAGAGGAAAACGTTGACGTCACCCTCGAGGCTATTTCCGCGATGGGTGCTCTTCTCGAGCTAGACGAGATGTCCTTCGAAGAGTTTGGCGGTGCCCTCAAGGCAGGTAACTTAGCCGTTGTGAGTATTAAACGACCAGAAGAGTAGACTAGTTCGTTGTCGCGTCTGGATGAAGCTGTCCTGGAGGACACCAAGAGGGACGATTTAAATCGTCGATCATGAAGAATTCCCTCGGACCCGTATTATCCTTTAGTAAAAAAATTTCAAGACGTCTTCTCCAAAGACTCGCCGTCGACCCTACTTCCAGACCGAGGTGTGGGTCATGGGATTGACCTGATTCTGGGAGCCAATACTACTCGACACGCCAATGGCCCCTGCCCAAGGAGCAGTATGACTTCATTGACGGCTTTTCTTTGCGAAGTACGAGGCAAGAATAGTACTCGAGAGAGCAAGTCTCCCATTCGACACCCACGTTTTGTGTCCGGAAGCCGAACGGCAAGTGACGTATCGTTCACGCTAACAATAAGCTGAAAGCTGCCACCATTCCGGCACAGATGCCGATATTTAAAAAGGATGTTCCACAGAACAATATGGTTGGCTGTACAAAGTACAGCGCACTCGACCTAGTCGATGGTCACAACCAATTGCTCACGAGAGCGAGTATTATTCCGTTGGCAGCGGTGAGTACTTCGAGTGAGATGTTCTGGGAGTAGCTGATCATGCTTCAAGGGCTGTCAAATGTACCAGCAACATTTAATTGTCATGTGACGCAGTTGTTCAGGCCCACCAGGCGTATGCAAAAACACTTCGACGACATCTTCGTCACAGTCGAGCGGGGAACTGAAGAACAGATGAAGAAAATCATATTGTCCATTTAAGGGTGGGACTCGAGTGCATGCGTACGATTAAGCTGTATGCTAATGCAGATAAGTTTATCTCTAGCGTGGAAGAAATCCCCTTTTTAGGGTGCTTCATTGGGAAACGTGGCCTTCGAGCGGATCTCGCTAAGGTCAAGGCCTTTGTGAACTGGTTCCAAAAATTCAAAGGACTTGCGCAAGTGGCTTGGCCTCGCTAACTACTTGCACAAGTATAGCGCAAATTATGCGGTAATGGCGCGGCAATTGTCGAGTTTCCTTAACAAGGATACGAAATAGATTTGGGACACCGAGCATCGGGAGGCTGTTGACAGGATCAAGCCTCCTTCATGCACTACTACTGTTGTTGCCAGACCCCGATCGTCATTTTAGTGTCGTCTGTCACGGTTCGGACTTTGACATCGGCTGTGCACTGCTGCAAGCAGACGTCGAGGGGTGCAATAGGATGATTGAGCTCGAATCTCGTCAGCTCAAGGCTGCAGAGAAGAACTACCCAGTTTATTAATTACTTGCGATGAAGTATGCGCTTGCCAAGTTCAGGGTGCACCTGCTTGGCTCAAACCTGTTTGTGATCGACGCGGATCATGCATTTTTACGTTCTTCTCTACTCCCATTGCGACTCAAACGCCTCACTTCTCGCAGAGGATGACCAAGTGGCTCTCTTTCTTTGCAAAATATAACTTAGGGGTATAAGCCAGGAAAGCATAATGCTTTGGCTGATGCATTGTCACGCAGACCAGATTATGAGCTTGCTCATGTTACGACGATGACGTCGTCCATGACGGAGTAGATCCGTGCCGCATACGTAGGTGATGTTATGTTTGTAGCGCTGCTTTAGGCTCTCGGACAAGGAGTTTGGAAATTTGGAAAAGAAATGTCGGCGCAATTGCGCGCAAGGCTACACTAATATTCGTTGAATAACGGGTTGCTGTAAATAGCACCGATTTGATGGATACGCTACAAATAAATGGTTGTTTCTCCCAATGTGGATTTAAATACTGTATCCTCTATGAGGCCCACGACACCCAACTCAGTGGTCATCTCGGTCGTGACATGACGCACAGCTCTGTGAGTTGCCACAACTGGTGGCTTAAGCTGTTTAAAAAATACATACGTGCGCAAGTGTGAGACGTGTCAAAGGTGAAAGCCTCGCCAAATGCGGCGGCGCCGCTAGCCAGTTTATCGGTGCTGGCTGTCCATGAGTATGGACTTTGTGAATGCCCTATCGAAGGCCTCGGCGGGCAGCACGGGTGTCGTGGTCTTTGCCGACTCTTGGAGCAAGATGGCTTATCTTGCGGCAGCGCCGAACACCGTCGACGGTGTCGGTACAGCAACACCGTTTGTGGATCGTATATTTTGACAATAGGGACTCCCGGGGTGGACTGTCTCCGACACAGACTCACGCTTCACTGAAAGTTTGGATCGACAATCTTCAGGGAGCTGGGCACCAAGTTGATTATATCAACAGCGGGTCGTCCGCAGATCGATGGTGAAAACGAGCGCGTGAATCGCGTCGTTGATGACATTGTTTGCAGCGCCTGCGCTGAGACGCCGAAGCGCTGGATCGCTATGTTGCCACTTGGAGAGTTTGCTCTAGTCAATGCAGCGCACTCACCTACCAGCATCTGGTTACTCTACGTGAATGGGCTTTTTAATCATCGTGCCCGCTGTCGCTGCCATTCTATGGCTCAGGGCTTGTGTAGGAAAAATAGCCAAACGGCTAGCTGATGTCAGCCCCCTCTCCATCCATAAAGACGTCGATGACTTCCATTCTACCAGACTGAGCGTCCCTCGACACGATCGCGATGCGATGGCTGAAAGCCAAAACATGCAGACAAAAGAAGCAGGAGGAATGTTGAAATCTTTGAGGTAGAGACCTGATTTTATTGAATGCTAAAAAGCTTCCTGCACATGCAGTCTCTGCTGTCTTCAAGACAAAGCTCATATAATTCGTGAAAGGAGCTTTGTTTTGAAGACAGCGGAGACTCATGACAAAGCTCCTCCCACGAATTATCGGAACTTTTAAGGTCGTGGCCAAGTGAGGCCTTGCGTATACGCTAAACCTTTCGAGAAGAATGCGAACCCACCCCAATTTGTGCATATCTAAATTAAGTTAGATGTAGAGGCTTGCTTCAGCCGGACCGAGATCCGGCGCAAGTGAACACGGAAGCGTTGGCACCGGGGCGGCGCCCAAAGGCGCTCGGCGACCCAGAAGCTGAACCAGAAACTGGTTTTGAGCACGTAGTGCAACAATTTCCGTTTCCAACGGCACAAGGCGCTCCACCATCACACGAAGTGGCATTTTCATCTGCTCGACGTCTAGAAGCCGCTCCGACAGAGTGCAATAATCTTCAACGTGAGGCAGTTGGTGCGCAACGTGCTTCAAGTTCTTGAGGTTTTCCGCACAGTGGTATGTGACCCCGGCAAGATGCTCGGCGGAGTTTTGATGACGACGGACTTTGTCCCTTAAAGCTCGAAGAGCATCGCGAGTCACCGGACAGCGATCGACCAAGTCGTCATCGTCCACCGCCGAATCTTCTCGACGAGAATGGTGGTAACAACTATCACGTGGAACGCCTTGTGAATCGACGTCGTCGACAGGGTCTAACCCAATATCTTGTGAAGTGGCGAGGATACCCAAACTCCAAGAACTTGTGGGAGTCTTAGGTGCCACTAACGCAAGACTGCCCAGACGTCATGGACGCTTATAGTCACCGAATCATGACGCTTTGCGTCATCATGCGCGCCACGCCTTTTGGCGGTAGCCCGGGAAGCCGAAGTACCATAAGCTAAGTTCAAGCTATGGGTTCGAGCTGCTGTATTTGTAGGCTCACCCGCGTGAAAAAACCACGGAGATTGCGGGAGCGTGGTGGATGATTCCGTGTGTAGCATGGCGACAATACGAAGGAAGTCGGCGTTGCACCGTGAGTTTGGCAAACTTAAATCAGAGATCGCGCCCTACGCGCAGGTCCACTTCGTTTAGGCTCCGCTGTGAGTTAAACAGCGATAAAAGTTTCCGTTGCCACTGTACTCGTAGCTTAAAGAGATCTTCATTATCTACAGCCAGGGGCGAGCACCACAGGAATAGTACGCATTGTGGGTACAGGTGCGTCTCATCTTTGAGCGCGAAGTCAAGCGCGGTACGTATCCTTTGGGATTTCCTGAGGTATCAAGATGCGCGCATGGAAAGCTTTTTGCTAGTCAAGCTCAGCTTTTGTAGCGATCGGGGACCCGACTATGTAGACGCTCAACGATCGAGTGTTCGCGTCTTTCGCTTTTTGAGCGGGATCCGCCGAGCGGAAGATGTATTCTACACGAGGGTCAAGGACCGAACGTTAAAACGGGCGCATGAGAGCCGCCCTGTGGGATGCCTCCAACCGCTGCTCCTGCGTCTCGTCGAGTTGATTGGTAATAATACGACTTCCCCCAGGAGGCGAATAGTTAAGAAAGGGACACGGTGTCTGCAAGGTTCGAGCAGGGCTCACGTCACGCCGTTGGCGCACCTTCTCCTCTTTTTCTTACCACGGTGGGAAAGATTTATCCGACTCGTAGTCGACTTTCTCCGAATCCTCGAAGAGGAAATCTGTCGCCCGCGGCGGGCGCGGTGTGTGGCGCCTGATTGGCGAGGGCTTTATATGTGTTTACCGTTAAGTCGCAGACGTACTGTCCGGAGATGCACCAGACTAAGAAGGGCCATGCCCGCGGCCGCCCTCGGAGCCAGCGAGGCTGGGTGTTTGTCGTGTCACAGATACAGGGCTCACTGAGCGGAGAATGTGTAAAGATGGTCCTGGGGACATAACGGTGTCTCAGACACGTGAGCCTCGTATGAGGCGAGGATCAAATGTGAATTGTGGGTATTCACAATTTTGGTAAGATAGAGTGTAACGGGATTACAAGTATCCTGGTATGAAAGGGTGGGTCACATAAGATGGTTTGCCCGTACAAAGATGTGGATCACACAAATCGGTGAAGCCACACAATGGCGTGGCTACACTCTAACATGAAACCACTACGTGGCGGGTAATGAATATTAACTAGGTTTTCCTATTTAATTGGAAATCCTGAGGTTTCAGTTGTAGGCGGCTCTGTCGCAAAATAAACAAATTAATACAGTTTCAATTCTGAACGGACAAGTGTCTTTGCCTTGGTTAGGCTTTTGGTTTCTATTGGAGGTAGCGGATTGCAATCCGCTACATTCGTACTCGTTCTGGTATAGAACGTAAGGTCGGTGACCTTTGTAAGCTTCTCCTAAGCAAAGAGATACGGCAGCCCCGTTGCAGCACATGTTGAGCTCTAAAATATGAAATTCAAATACCGATTGCAGTCAATAAAACCATTCTGACCCATTGGTCGTAGGCTTTTAATCAATAATGATGTCTACCGTGATCTAAATGAGTAATTTCCCAAAGAACAAGAAATCCTATCAAATGCATTCAACTAAACTAACCGCACGTAAAATATAAGCTCATCAAAAAAGAATACTCATAATGCAATAGCTGTGTAATGCAAACGGCGTACAGCCTGGCTGCGTGACTCGATGTTTTTAGTCGTCATTTAGCCGGAGCGTCGTTCATGTAGAACTGCGATTGGTAAGATGTTGTACCTTTGAAATTGAATTAAATCATGCCTGCCTTTTGCATGATCAGTACAATTTGACCGATGAGGAAGCTTACATCATGCCCCTTGGCTTGTTCAAAAGCCGAAATTTGAGGATCAATGACATACAGCTTAGGCCAGAAAGATCTTTGACTGAGTTTAACTGCATACAGTCGGCAATATATTTCAGTTGAGCAGACTAACGGCTAAATACACGTAAGTTATGGATGGGTGGACGGATGGAGAGCGTGGTATCTACGTTGATGCATAATGTAGACGGTCTCCAAGCCATCGTATGCAGCAATTGCAATATCATGTCAGTGTTTGCAAACGCAAGCTGGCATTATAGTCAGGATGGAGGTAAGCAAAAAGAATTGTCATGGATCTTTGAAGCACGTGCAAACATGCGAAAGTTTTTTTTCAGTCGACTCCCTCCTTTTGTTGCTTATGAAAACGAAAATTCATCACTGCTAAATTCCTCACATTGGTAATTGTTATCCTACTTTTACCACGCCACTTGATATATTGTTTACCACAACCACCGAAATCTAATACGGGCAATGAAGCATATTGCTGTGTGCTTTGCGCGACATGCTAGCTACCGAAAACGTGGATACCGCAGGTCCAAACTTGCCCTTGGCCTATCAAGTCAAACCCACCGTACCATCCATGTCTCAGCTTTGGCTCACATCAAACAGGCTGTAGAAGTCTCCGCCTTACTAAAGTTATTCCGGGTGTATATTTACACAGATTTTTGATTAAATCTCCCCCACAACGCTATCGTGTGACGGAATAACCTTGACGCTACGCAAGTATTACAATCATCAGCTACATGAAATAATTTACATTTGGTGTACCTTGTGAGCTGCATATACAGTGTACAGCATATCCACACGGTTTGTAATAATGTTATAGAATGTAACATGTATAAATATATTCAGACAGAAGCTGGTAGCTCTATTAGGGTAACCTGGATCCTATTTGAAAAAGGGCTGAATGTGTGGTGTCCGTTAGCAAAAGCAAGAAAACAGCAGCGTCGATTGATTCCGCTAAATCCTCGGAGTGACTGAAGGAAGACCCCAGCAAGTAAACATGAGAGCGTCTTCAACTTAGTGTACCACAATAGCAACAATATAAACAGCAGCTTTTTAAGCAATAGCAACTGGTAAAGTAGTAAAATAAATACTACAGGTGGTCAAAATCAACTCTGTGCGATACACATTTGAACAGCTTGTGAAAATACTTGCTTTAAGTAAATCTCAGGCAATGTTGGATGAGTCATATCACAAAGCTAGATAAAAAATTTCTGACAAAGACTAAACAAGTTAGAAATGAAGCTGGGCCCGAATTTGTCCCATCAGTTCCGCGCTTAGGATAAAAGCGGTTCTTACCGCCGTAAGCTCAACGGCTTGATGCTTTGTATGACCAACAGCGCTCACCCGCTCATATTACGCGCTTCATATCTGTATGGAAACAAAGCATATAATATATGTTATGCTGATGAGGTATCTAAAAAATTGTACATCATTACGAAGTAGTGGACGTAATCAAAGCTGGCTGGGACGCGCATATCCCACGTTAGGACCCGAGTTTGTCCCATCCCGTCCGTGCTAAAGCAGTTCTTACCGCGGTAAGTTCGGTTATTCGATGCTTTGTACTCTGACACATTCATATTTCGCGTATCAAATTTGTATGCAAAAATAATGTCTCATATGCTTATGGGGTTTCTGGATAAATCGTACATTGTCGCTAAGAGATGGCTACAATCAAGCTGGCTGGGACGTGCAGATCCATGTTTGAGATAGCATATTCAGCTTTCCATCGCTACCGTCTTTTTGGCCTATATCAATTTTTACCTGTCGAAAAGACCAGCTGACATGCATTTAGATTCAGAATTGGGGTTAACCAACACAAACGACATGCATCGGATACGAGACTGATACTATCGAAACTCATTGACCCGACGCGTAATAATCGCTTGTCGAGGCAATTTTAGTTAGTTATTTGCTGCTTTGGAGCCATGTTTTTCCATAGCAGTCCCCATAACAAGTAAATAGTAAATTTGAGTACGCTGACGCAAATAAGCGAAATCGTAGCTGCTCTTATAGTATAGCGAAGTTGCTTTTATGAGCTCGCGATAGGAACGACGCTTGTGACTTGATAATTAAAAATGTACCATCTAAGTCCAGCGTGAGCTCAGGAAGTCACGTGCGCCGGCCTTAATTTGTTCAGGTAGTGGCGAATATTGATCGCGTTCGAGTGCCGGTCACAGTATTTGCAGAAGACTGAAAGCGCTTCGACGTTAAAGGGCTGAGCATATAGTAACGCCTTGGTCATATCCGATGTTGCTGTATTGAATTACCATATTAATCTTAAAGCCAATCAGTCATCTTTGCCAGCAACAATTTCGTCTCTATCAGAATGATCTTCAAGCATTCTAGTGAATGACCTTGTATGTCTTCTGCTCGGCATATTAGTAGACTGTTCACGTTCGCCACTGTCTATGTTAAGCCCAAATTTGTACCGCGCGGATGGAAATATTGTTTTTGATAGGAAGTAGTCTTTAACGGTCCTTGGGCTAAGATTCTATGGGCGTGTTTACGAGGACTCTACTAGCTAAAAGCTTTCTTTCAAATTGAGCCGCATCAAATGAGTTGGACTGGGTAACATTTGCCGTGAAACCGATAAAAAATCTAAGAAGACTGTTTTTTCTGTGAGGATGGAACAGAAATGTTCTCCTGGTTCAACACGCGTTCCTTAGACTCCAGTATTTCACTGACCATGAAGGGATAGCAAGACTGGCGATCCACAATCCAAAATGAGTAACCCTTGCCTTAATCATACACACCTTGCGTGTCACTAATCACGCGATTAAGAAATCAGAGTCAAATTTCACACTGGATCGACCGGAGAACCCCCGCTTGATTTCTTAGTCTAGTTGGCTTACTGGGCACAATCTCGATGTCATTGTACCTCGTGACAGTCGAAGTCAATGGACCAAGCCTTGAGTGATCGATTTAACTTGAAAATGATTATGCTAACAGCTCCTGGTTGTTAGTTGTTGATATCATTGTTCGGGGATTTGTTAAAGCATGTAATGCTCCGACTGATTTAGACTTATCACGCAGTCGTAAACGACGCGGTACAACGAAGAACAGTAGATATCACACAATGACACTGGAAATACCGGATACGGAAGTTAAATTGTGTTTTAAGCGTCAAAATAGCATACAATTCGTCAGAAACTGTTTTTAGTTTATCTGAAGAGTTTGATGACTTTGAAAGCTTTGAACGCTATTTGGTCCAAACACACTATTGGAGATTCTATCATAGTTCAGGCATAACGTGTCTAGAATGCCACAAGCCAAAATTTGACTGGAAAGTTACAGACACCTACTACACCCTAATGAAGCTGTAATGTGTCATTAGACAACCTCTGCTGGATATACGAAAAATTGGCGCGGAAACTACGATGCAACATTCTTGGAGTAAGATATGAAATTAACGAAGATTAACTGGATCAATGATTAGAAGGCAAGGGCGACAATAAACACGGCACATTCTGCTGAGGCTTTTGTCTGTATGATCTCTAGGGCCAATCCCTACTAGAAAAGAGACAATATGGTACTGGGGGGTTCCGTGCACGCAGATACCTGGCTCGTAAAATCCGCGTTCATAGTCGCTCACAGGCAATCTTAGGACGCAAGTATCTCTCAAGAATCTGGTTCCTGACACTTGGCAAATTGAGATTATATTCTTGAGAATCAAACCATTTTGAATGTCATACCGATATAACACGAACTTATCTCAGAAACTATAAATGCTCATATAGTTTTGCGTGAGGTGACCTTCACTTCGATATCATACTCTGTAAACTTCATCGTATTTTGAGAGACTTCTTAGCTTCACTTTGAGCCCAGAGTACGTACGAGCACTGTTACACCCACTTTCACCAAGATGCGAGCTCATCGGGGTCGCTAACCTGCCAAGACTCAACCAGCACAGTTGAAATTTTTCCTTTTTCCCAGGTCATACGTTCCTTACTATTTTAAGTCATTTCGAGCCTTGACTTTTTCCAACGTTCTCGCTACCTTTGCTTACGCGCTGCACACCGTTCCCAATTCCCGAAGTGAGGGGTTGTAAAACACCCCACTGCAAGACTGACGACAAGGTCCGATTCGTCTCAAATGGAGTGGGTCTAGTTCAGCAAGCTCAGCTTGTTCGTGGCACGCACAACAAAACAGTACGTGGCTGGTACAGCCAGTACCAGCCACGTACTGATTTGTTGTTTAGTAGGTTTCACTCTATAGATAGGAGAGCGTATAGATTCAGATATAGGCGGCTTTGCCTGAAGTAAAAGTGAGAAATACAGCTTACATTTTAAACGGAGGAGTTTATTTGACTTGGGTTTAGGTTGTAGTTACTCTTGGGGTGAGCTGATTGCGGTCCGCTACCCTCGTACTGGTACTAAGTATAGAACGAAAGTCACGGACCTTAACCAAGCTTTCTCTACGCATAAGAGCTACGGCAGCCGTGCTGCAGCGCAACCTCCAACTAGCGAGTAAAACCTGATCTTGTCCAAGACTGAGTCTAAATCGGTGCCTGTTATTGCTGTCATGTGGATTCAAGCGGGCTGTTAGCATCAAAGGCTTAAAGATACAGATTACCACCCGAATCCAAGTCAATCTTTAAAGTCTAGCGTCGCTAATGATTATATCACGTCGGAAAACTATAAATGAAAACGGCCAGACGCGCGGCGGTGTAGTCGTTGAAAATCTAAAGCCTGCACCTCAATCGGTCCCCGTAGACCACATCTGGGGGTTGGCGCTTATGCTTATATGATCAGCAGCTGTAACAACAAAGGATTAATGCATTCATTGATGTTCAAGCGAATATAGCAATACAGCTCTGCACTTTTTATTTATGCGTGGTGACATAACTGGCTGTTTGCAACCTTTTTGACGATAGATCTTAACGTGCTTAATAATAATGAGGCCCACTGGAGTGCTTGTGAGAGTACTTCGGTCTTCTTTCAGTCGGCTAGGAGGCTTTTGATCGATCATATAGATGTTGTCTGTGCTATTCAATCGACGATGACACTGATATAGAAAATAGTGCATGTTGAGATTATCGAAGCTTAATTAATAAGCCTTTTTCGTCGATAATTACGCGCCCGTCGTCGTAACCAAACGCATGAAATGCGATGTCACTTTTTTATTCAATATACACGAAGCACTTCATCAAATTTATGGTTCAAATTTAAGTCAAATTTGCATCAACTTCCCGACATTTCTCCGTTGAACGGTTTATGTAGCACCTTAAGATTTATCACTCTCATTAAAAATGGCTCTATGTAAAATGATACCTTCAGAATGGACGGTGCAATTACTCATGTACTGCAGATGTATCACTTGGGACACCTCGACCGTGGTTTAAGCGAATTAACATTGGACGTGTCAGCCTATGTGAGACTCAAATCGCCATCGATGACTCTTGCGTCTTGCTAGCAGCGGAAGTACATTGGCCATCAGAAACGACGGGTGCATGGACGGTGAAACATACGAGATTAAAATGTATTGTCGTGTTCACGCATTTCGCGAGTCAAATGCTTTTAGATGTCAAAAACAAATACACGCTGCAGAGATGCGGAAATTGCTAAAACGTTTTAAGGCGTAGGGTAACAATACAACTGTATATCGTTCCAACTCTGTCTCGAAATGATTTGCCACTCTTGTTTAAATCACGATTGCGTAATGTTGTCAACTTTCAGTACATATGAATCAAGCATTTGTAACAGTCCCAGCTAACACGCACTCCAGCTCCTGCAGAATTCAAATAAACCTGATGGTGATCCGGCCAGATTACTATAAACCAGTGCGTAGCTATATATGTGGCACACGATAAGCAACCAAACAACACAACGCCTGTGCTTTCGCCCAACGAATGTAATCAAGAGGAAAAATATGCAGAAATCTGCCGAATGAATTCACTGGAATTAGGGAAAAAGTGGTTGACTTTGCCAAATGATTGGATAGCGTAGAGTTTTTTGATACAGTACTGACTGGATCTAAACTTCTCGCCCCTTCATTGCTGAAAACTGAGATCTGGTGGATCAGCCGGTGACCGTAATTGTTTGGCTGAAAATCGCTTCTGTCCGACTCTAAATCTCGAACATTATTTCGATAGAGGTCGCGTCACCTGTTTTGACTATAGTCAACCAGAACCAGGCCAATCTTCTGGCATTGAAAATTAATACTTACGAGTGACTGAGAAAAAGTACACAACAGAGCCCACGTGCAAATATTCGTCCATTTCTCGAAACGCAAGCTTAAGCGTGGGCCCTTTATTTGATTGCTAAACCACAGCGCGACATTCACTCTATCATACAAACTTCAAGTCACTCGAGTTTATTCATGGTAAACCAGTCTTTCGCACCAATTCATCCCCACAACGCCAGCTTATACAACGTCGGAAAGGAAGCGATGAACAAGAGGCTAGAACGTCATGATGGGTCTCTTCTGGTAGCAGAGAAGCAGGAGACATTTATAGATGACGATAACGATGACACGACGACTCTAGGTATCGCCGTGAATACACGCAACTACCAGACACTTTTAGATAATTTGGCACAACGACGACGCACGAGTTCAGTGGTTATCATGTCTCCAAAATATCGACGCCAGACTGTCGTCGTTTTTCCACAAGGAAAAAATACAAAGCCAGAGAGTCCGAGGGAATATATGATCGACGACGAAGAGGAAGACGACGAAGAAGCACGTGACGAAACTGTTGTGGGTCTGCCCGTTGACACGCGAAATTATGAGGCTATTGTGAGTCGAGAGCTCCCCACGCACTCAGATCCAGGTAAATTTAATGTGAATTATCGCCGTGCGACAGTAGATATCATGCCGCAATCTGTCCCTGAGGAGGATGTTTTTACGAGCCATTCGATCGTCTCAGAGAATAGCGACGATGATGACACCGTCATGGGGTTTCCTGTCAATACAGGCAATTCTGTGTCGTATCAAGTTGAAGAATCTGAATCGGGGCGACGTGACCCAGTACACCGTCAACGAAGATATAGCACGTTGGAAAAGGAGCCTCGTGTCAGTGACCCGTATCGGTCATCGTCTCAGTGCGGAACGGCTTCGCAAGACTCGTTTACGACTGCACCGAATAATAGTATTCACACTGATCCTCGTGCTTCCTGTTTTGACAGTCGTCGCGCTTCGAATGCGGCGTACGTTCCATACTCAAGTTGGATCTACATCCAGCATGGCAAGCTTAAAGCATGGAAGCGCTACTTTGCCGTACTTTCAGGGATGGAATTTAAGTACAGTAAAGGCGCAGGGCATTCTCCGAAAGGTTTTGGATTGTTGACTGCAGTACGCAGGGCGCATGACATACGCTACGGGCTTTGGCTTGAGTTAGACGGTGATACGTCGCTCCTCATTCGCTGTTCTAATGTTGATGAGTTTGAACAGTGGCAGAATGCAGCGGAAAAGGCTATTGAACGTCTTAACTCACAAAATATGACCTCGTACACTTTATCGGCGTCGGAACGACATGAAGGGTATCTATTCAAACAGGAGAAGAATAAGACATGGAAACGATGTTTCTTTGTTGTGGGCACCGATGGGTACATCGAGTGCCGCGACAGCGAACAGGATCAACCCGACCGAAAGTGTTCTGGATACATCAAGGCTGTGTCATTTGCCGACTGCCATGCTAACGGCCTTGCGATCCAGCTAAGTGCAGGTGTATCCTTGGTTTGCTATGCAGACTCGTACGACGATCAAATGCTCTGGTATGGCGCAATCTCGGCTGCCGCAAACGCGAATGGTAAAACAGCACAGGCTAAAACGTCGGTGAAGAGCTGCTACGTTGAAACAGCGGTGTCTAATCACGCAGGGTGGCTTTACAAACAAGGTGGAATTTTAAAGACCTGGAAGCATCTGTATTTTACACTACATGGTACTGAGCTGGCATTTGCTAAGGATACGAATTCGGAGACTGTGTTATGTGATTACGCAGTCTCTGTGGACGAATGGAGTGGTCATGCGAATGGACTGTCGATTCGACTTATTAGTGGACGCGTTTGGAAAGTCTACGCTGAATCATACGAGACCGCCAAACGATGGCGGTCGGTTATTAGAAGTGCGTGTCGGGCCGCCGAATCATTCAATCTTAAAAAATATTTGACGAGCCGACGTCGTAAGAAGCTTAAACCTGTGTACGGTGGTTGGCTCACAGAAGTGCGGAAGAATTTCCACCTTCGTCGGTTTTACGTCATTGATGGCACGACACTGGGAGTTGCTAACGATGTCGACAACCAGCTCAGACCCCTTGGTCATGTCGTTGATGTGGGTTCAACGCGTGATCTTGAGTGTGGCATGGTGTTTACACTTGCCAATGGAACCACAGTGAAAGTAATTTGTGACTCACTGGCAGACTCAAAATGTTGGTATGAATGCTTGAATTTTTCGCTCAAGTAGACATTCACCGGTGGTTTTTGTACAAAAATGATTGGTTTCAATTGATACGCTGCCCGATGGAAGGGCTTTGAATCATATTGAGTCGTAAGGAAATATATTTAGTTGTCTTAATTATTCTTGTTGTTTGTGTTCAATGCGTATATCGTTAGCTTGTTCCATGTTTGTAGTGCAGAAAATCATTCGAATTTAGAACGTTTACTATCGCGAAGACTACTTAAGCGGCAGGCTCCGCACAGCTTCGACCGCAAGCTTAATTATGTCTCGAGGTGGCAAATCATTTTCATCCCCCAACATATTCAGGGCAACGCGAGCAATAATCTCGAGAAATTCACAAAAGACCACCGATTGCTCTTCACGACAGCCAGAAAAGCTTTGGTCGACAGCACGATCAAATAATGCTGTCTGTTCCTCAAGTGTGCCAGAGCAGAACATACCACAGTCGTACAACATGCTTTTCAATCCTACCACAGAAAGCAGGAGCGGCCAAGTCGACGAAATTGGACGACCTAGTGAAGTTTCGCCCACTTTATGATGATCGTTCGTCTTTCGCTTCGGAGCATATTCAAGCGCATATTTGGCATATACCTTAATAAGCTTCGGCTTGGCTTCTTGAATAAATACTACCAGTCTCTAAAGTGATGAAAAAAAACATACATCCATTAGACCTCGACTTTCATGACTAGATAACACTATGACACCCTCGTACGTACATTCTGATGTAAATGGTCTCGAAATGGTCCGCTGGTGAGCCGAGTAATAGTGGGAAGAATTAGAGTCTTTAAAATACGATCCAAAACCTCGTGAAAACAGCCGCTTTGAGAGAAAACAGCTTGTACCATTCGTAACAATGCATGGACATACCCGACTCGAGAAAGAGTCCCTTGATGACGTATGGCTACAAACGAATCATGGCGTAAACACTGATTCAAAACCTTTGCAATCAACTTTTGAGCATTTTCATCGTGCACTTTTGCAATCTCGCATTCGTGAAGAAAATGAGCAAACTCGGCACCATTCATACCGTATGTGACTTCACTGCTACCGACAGCGTAATGCATATACGCTGCATTGAGCTTATTAAAGCAAGAAAGTAACAACTTTTGGACGATTTCACGCTCGCAAGATTCTTGATCAATCTCTTCAAAGTGGATGCGGTTCCATTCGTATAAAAACGCAGCTTCCATCTCCATATCCGACAAGAACTGTCTTGATTTTACTTGATGTAGCATTTCAGCATGAACATACTCTTTTAAGTCGTCCGCAGAAGACGAGATCTCATCTTCTTTAAGTTTCGTTTCGGATATCGGAACTTTTGGTGTCAAAATAGTTCGCGGAATTGCTTCAATGTCAGCTTGAACATCTTTCGTATCAAGACGCTTTTGTGAAGGGAAAAATGCATTTATTGTCCATTCTGTAAATTGGGGCGTGCCGACCTCGTTCACTGATACTGCTTGCTAGTGCATTTACACAATGATAATACATTTTTCATCAACGTACAAAATCTCGAGCTCAAGAGTTATACCTGCAACTGGATGGTTAATTTCTCATTGTCCTTACAAACATCGACAATACGCTGCTCAGGTGCAAGTTCTTGTCCAAGGTTATTCATCACTGCAGCAGGAAGGTAAAATCCTGGCTTATAATGGACATTCTCGCGAGTGCGACAACGGCCATGCGGCGCGGCCAATGAATATCGCTGGGCGGCAACTAAGCTGAGCCAGCGACAAGTTTGAGTGCCTTCACCACATGGGACCACAAACTGCAAGCCGTGTACTTTGACGCTGACACGCATTGATTATTGAAATTGAACCGACGCTGACAAACAAGTTTAAGATCTATCTATGTATAAACTTATAGTAATGTCGGCTAAGTTTAAAATCGATTAGCTTAGCTATTTGGATTCGATGTGGCGGCCTGCAAACTTGCATGGCCTTGAGGAGAGCTCCCGTTTCTGGCAACAGCTCCATTGATAGCCCTGAAGGGGGTACTTGCGGGCTATGAAGCGACCCGGGTGGTATGAACACGAAAGCGACGTGTTGGACTTGTTGGTGTAGGTCTCATTGCAATTTTTGCATCGACGAGGTTTGTGCGTTGTTTCGAGCTCCTTGGAGATCTCAGCACGATCGCGTGCAAGTTGCTTCTCGCGCATAAGCTCATCCTTATTCACCTTGCGAAGGTACTCTTTCTGGGCATCAAAAAGTTCTTGTTGCAGCTCACTTACTTGGCAAACAAGGTCTTCAATACGATCTTTTGATGAGTCATCGATTCGCTCAAGTGTCTTGACTTCTGTCTTTTTGCTTCGAAGCTGCTCCGTCTTGCGCTCAATTTCAGCATCCTTTTCATCGATAAGTTTGCGAGTAGCTTTCAAAGTAGCTGAGAGATCGTCCATTCGAGCAGTAAGACGGGCAAGTTCTTTCGTCAAATGTGCGTTTTTGTCACGTAATTCTTCAATAGCTCGATCTTTTTGCCGTAATTTACTTTGTGCCGTCTCAACCTCAACGTCAAGCGCATGAATTCGATGGCTTGCATGCTATTCGATCAAAAGGTTTCGTTTAGATTAAGTCAGAAGATCGGAATCAGTGTGATCCAAACCTTGGTCTCAGATTTGACATTTTCAAGCTCTTTCGAAAGCGATTCTCTGATAAACAATACACAGTTAATTTTCTCAACGTAGGAACGAGCGAGTGCTTTGATCTACTTTTTTTTAAGCTCATGAAGTGCAGTTTTGTTTTGGCCACGAGCAGCTTCCCACGCAGACTCCACAGCCTAAAAACCTCATGCAGCAGATCAATCAGGAAATTGTAAAGATAGTATAAAGCATAGAAGTCCGGGAACGAACCGCCAGTCGAACAGCAATATTTTTGACTTCTTCAGATTTTTCTGCTGCCTCCTCTTCTGCTCTTGCCGCATTACGCTTTAGCTTGTGATTCTTCTCTTTGAGCTCCAATATCGTGTTTTCATGCTCAATACTTACAACTTCCATTCTTCGGTATAACAAGTGTACATCAAAACAAATAAGACGCTATCATAAAAACTCTGCTTTACGTACTCGCGTAATTTTTCTTTTAAGCGAGCGTAACGCTTTTGAGAATCCTCCAATTCTTTCAATAAGTCTAAGCGCTTCTCGGTCTCACCTTTTACGTTAGAAATCTGCTCCATCAAAAAAGTATTTTCACGCTCGAGCGTGTAGACTTTTTCGCATTCACGCTCGTACTTCTTCATACACTGTTCCAATTTCGTAGTGGCAGCCACCTTGTTCTTATACTCAGTTCTATCAACAGCCTCGATAAATTGTGTTCGTAAAGTATGAGAGGTATGTTTATAACCTACTTTCTACTTGCGACTTCGCGGCTCATGGCATCTTCTGTGGTCTCCTTGTAGCGCTGCAAAACTCGTAACTCTCCCATCATTTTAGCTTTTTCAAGGCGCAAGTCTTGATGATCCGACAAGAGTTGCTGGTACTGATCTTCCAGACTTTTGGCTTTCCGCCTCCACATCTCCTCTGTCACACCCCATGGTTTTGACGTCCAGTCATCTTTCATATCAAGCATTTCGAAAATGCGTTTTTAATGGAAGAGAAGAATAGAGTTGACAGTAGTAAGAAATACAAAAACCAGAGTGAAGCCAATTGTGACAAGTAGCTTGGCTATCATCACCGGCACAAGGAGTACAAGAGCAAGGTCAGCTCATACGATTAAATATAGCACGATTTTTATTGCGATGAACGAAGAACTATTTTCGTCAGTCAGTAAGACTGCGAAATAAAGCTTATGGTCAAGCCATTTTTAAACTTTACTGAAAATATGTGGTATAAAACATTCATTTGGTCGAAGAATCCAAATCTGGACTTCAGCGCTGGAACCGATACCGTTGAGAGATCCAAACGAGTATTAACTATCCAGACACTCCCTGATCGAGTAATGGTACCTTAGTAAGATCATATGGCGCAAGCTTGGGTTGTCGCCTAGATCAATATGAAAACATAAATGAGAAATGACGCCAGAGGTTGGATGGATCAAAAGATATATACCAGGGGTCAAGCGCGCTGTCGTAAAAGCATTGTCTGTTTGCAACGGGATTGCCGTGCACCTCGCAGTAGATAAGCTTTGACTCTACTAAATAACGTCAACAGGATGGGTTTGTTTGCAACACCTTGCTGCCAAAACCAAGACTGTTACTGGTATACAGAATTTAGTCTTATTGCGTTTATGCATTGCGTGAGGCTGGCACCCCAGATTTGTCCACTCAATCGTACCGGATTCTAAGTCTACTAACACTTGTCACACCACCTTGGTACGCTGAGCTTCACTTTAAGACCGAAGGGCAGTTGTGCAATGAATTCACTGATGCCCCAAGACCACCCACACAGACCATCCCTTTAAGCAACAGCACCGAGAGTTTCGATTCCCGTACTAACTCTTACGAGCATTCAATACATCAAGAATTTTTTTCGACTTGATCTTTGTAGCACATACCTCGAGCCACAAAAAGGCGCGGATCTGGTGACCAACAGCCTGCTAATTGATCAAACGAGGTCTTTTTTATATGTATGGCCACAGCGACTTTTCGAAGTCCCAACCCATCACATGCACCATTATCCCGTCCTTCATATACGGGAACGTTCTCCAGGATGGGGCGTTCCTACGCTTCGCGCATGGGGAGCGCGCTGAGCGTTATTAGAAGGGACAGATGGGGAGTCGGGGCCAAAGCGGCAGCGGCAAGATGATACTATTGCCAAACCTCGAGGTCCCACAAGCTCTCGGAGCGAACTGCCCTTCCACTTTTCCAAGTACTAGTCAAAGCCCTGGTAAGCCCGCCGGCGCATTATCCTTACTTAAAAATGGGTCATCATTGCTCATCTATTAGAGCCGAAGGAGGCTTTCTTATGGCATGGCTGGCTTTCATTAGATGCCTTGAAGGTGGGGATATTATCGACTCTAACTGGGAGTCCCAACAAGCGACCTTTCAGATGTGTTCGCGCACATATGCGATCAAATTGGTTGCCATTAGTGGTTTCCACCAGATCTCTACCGCTTCGCAAAGAACTCCCAATTTCGCTACGAAGTGTAGTCGGCCTGATAGTACGTCAAACCGTATCGACAACCTCTCCGACCAAGACCAAAACCTCAAATACATTCACAACCAAATAAAACTGCCTTATATTCTACCTCAAAGATAGTGTCGGCAAAGAAGGATAACTATCTTGCCATATACCATGAGAGATGCGCTGACGGCGTCGCTGGGCAAAAACTACGAATGGCTTTGAGCCAAGCAGGTGTGTCCTGACTGTGACGAGAGCATACTGTATTGCGAAAACCTCAATATCACGACCAGAATATATATCCTCTGCCGTAGAAGCCGGTAAGACGTAAGCGCAATAACCCGTTTACGTCCATTGATACAAGCTTAAAGTACAGCGTATGGAAAAGGACGAAGTTTCGAAGCTGACATGAATGGACAACTTGAGCCAAAATTAGGGTACGTATGAGGCTTTCATGGCAGTCTTGAAAGCTGTTTCGCTGCCGTATAAATTATCACTTGAGTTTCTTGTAAAGCGATCACAGAAAAATCATTCTTTGCCAGCGTAATTGTTCTATTCAGCCACTATCAAATTGTCCTTTGTGATGATATGAGCGACTACCCCACTGGGGTTTTGTTCTTGGCACTGTTATAATCGGCTCCAAAGACATAATGCTACAGCGGAAAACACCTTGCTAAAGCATATATGATCGAGCACTTCTCTCAGGTGTTTGATAATTACATCCTACACACATGCTCGGTGCGAATACGTCATTAATATCCTCAAATAGGTCAGAATATGGCCTAGAGGCATGACCATCCTATACTCGAACTTCCTGCGCGAAGTACTCACCTTGAGAGGAAGATATCAGTAACTCTATTGAGCAATTGTTAGTATCCATCTACAAGGCCATGGGTGCTTAATAAGGTACAAGCAATTGTAATCTTTTGCGGTGCGTCATTTTAAGGAATTGGTATCTGCTATGGAATGGTGGCTGCGTTTCGCACATTCTATCCAGGCTTTATTCATTATTTGACGTCAGCTTTCCTGGCACAGATGTGGGGAATTAAATGTCATCTCACCAAAACTGGTCTGTGCTATACACAGAAAAAAGGCCGGAGAAGTCACATTGTAGCCTCGGTAAACTTTTTAAATTGTGACGTTTTATCAAGTCAACTTGATGACACAATCTCTTGTCAGGAAGGGCTTCCCTGATGGGTCCGTCATTATCACGTCGTGAAATTCTTTCAGCATTGGATAAAAGAATCTGTGAGAATTTTTAAAACAACCTCCAAAACTCGTCGCACTCAGTTTCCTGCGAAAGGTTTTCTAATAATGGACTCATCCCTGACGGATGATCAGCTCAGAACTTCCGGAACCTGCTATACTAGCTGGCAGACTTCAACGCCTTACTCTTGGGCGCACATATCACAAATGAGGGGCGCGCTCAACAAGAGCTACTACCTGGAGTAACGAGGGGTCAACCCTTGCAAATGTACACGTCTGTTAAAATTTGAAACTGTTTGTTTATTGTTTTAGCTGCAGCAGAGCCGCCAGATTTATAAAGCCCTGAGTTTCCTACTTAATATAGTAATACCTAATTAATTTAGCAAAAACCTAATTAATATAGTAATATGCATTGCTACTGGCAATCCTGCCACGTGATGGCTTCTTGTTACGGTGTAGACACACCACTGTGTGATTACGCTAGCTTGCGTAATACACACATATGAACGGTCGCATCATCTCCTTTCATACAAGGGTACGTGTAACCCCGTTACAATTCCCCCCACTAAAATAATGAATATCCTCGATTGGCCGCCTTATACGAGATTCGCGTGTCGGAAACACCTCCACGCTCCTTAAGAACAACTTTACACATTTTTCGCTCTATGAGCCCTGTGTCTACGGCACGCAAAACGCCCAGCCTAGCTGGATCCAAGGGCGCCCGCGGGCAAGGCGCTTCTTCTTTTCCTTCTACACAGGGTGCATCTCCGGACAGTACGTCTGTGGCTATACGAGAAGCACATCCCAAGCCCTAGGTAACTTAACGCAACACACCTCGCCCGCCCCGGGCGACGGGTTTCCTCGTCGAGGAGTTGGAAGGATTCGACTGCAAGTCGAATACTCTTTTTCCAGCATGGGAAGACGAGGAAGATGAAGTGCGACAACAGCGCAACGGAAGTTGCTCTTAAACCTTGCATACACCATATCCGTTCCCCGACCTCTCGGCTTCTGGGGAAAGTGGAATTATTTCCTATTTTCTCGACGTCGCACGGGAGCAGCAATTGAAGGCTGCTCACAGAGCGGTTCTCCTGTGCTCGTATCCACGATCGGTCTCGGGCCCTCCTGTGGAATACGGCTTTCGCTCGGCGGATCCCGCTGCCGAAGCGAAAGACGCGATCACTCGATCTTTAGGCCTCTTCGTAGTCGCCCCCCGCGCCACTACACAAGATGAGCTTGTTCAGCGAGAAATTCTCAAAGCTCGCTTCTTGGTACCCCAAGATATCCCAATGGATCGGTACCGCGCTCGACTTCAAGTACAAAATGAAATGCGCTTGTTTCCACAATGCAGATCATTCCTGTGGTGCTCGCTCATGGCGAAACCGCTGCAGATGACGATAAGCTCTTTGAGTGATGGGTGCAGCGGCACTCAAAACTTTCTTCGCTGTATACCTAACTGCGAAGCCACAAGGAAGTGAATGTGCGCGTTAAGCGCCATCGTAAATTTGAGTTTGCCAAACTCAAGGCGCGACGCAGACTTACTGCGTATTGTCTCCCTGTGACATGTGGAACAATCCATGCAAGCTATGTGCTTTCTCACACGAGTGAGTCTGCGAACACAGCAGCTCAGGGCCATAGCTTGAGCTCTGCTTTAGGCCATCCGGCATTCCGACTGCTGAGAAGCGCGCTGCGTACGACGACGCGAAGCGTCATGAACCTTCCGATCATAAGCGTCCACAACGTCTGTACAGTCTTGCCGAAGTAGCACTTGAAACTCCCACGAGTTCTCGAAGCTGGATTATCCCCGCCACTTCACAAGAAATAAGGTCAAACCCTTGTCGATGACGTCAACCCAAAAGGCGTTTCACGTGGTAGTAAACGCCACCATTCTCATCGAGAAGAGTCAACGACAGGCGATGACGACTTGTTCGATCGCCGACCGGTGGCTTGTGATACTTTCGAGCGTTGAAGGACAAGGTCTGTCGTCATCGGCACTCTGCAGAGCATTTTCTCGAGGTCGTCTTCCACTGTGCGGGTGTCTCAGCGAGCCTATAGTACTTTGTGCACCGGCTAACTCACGTTGAGGATTATCGTGCTCTCTCAGAGCGGCTCCTAACCGTCGAGCCGGCGAATACGTCACTTCCTCCGACATTGGAGAGCCTTGCGCTATTGAAAACAAAATATGTTGCACACCAGTTGCTTGTTCAACTTTTGGGTGGCCGAGCGCCTTAGGCGCCGCCCCCGCGCCAACGCTTCCGTGTTCACTTCCGCCGGATTCCGGTACTGCTTAACAAGCCCACATAAAACACCGGATTGGTGTGCATCCTTCTTGGGAGGTTAAACGTATACACAAGGCCTCACTTGGCCACGACATCAAAAGGTCCAATAAACGTGAACCCACACCATTCTGTGTCCTTCCTGAGGATTTTCGACACTGGTCTTGCCATTTCCGCATTATTTGCGCTATACTTATGCAAGTAGTTGGCGAGGGCAAGCCACTTTACGCAAGTCCTCTTGATTCTTTGAGACTGGCCAGTCCATAATGGTCGTGACCTTAGAGTGATCCGTACGAAAGGCACGCTTCCCAATGAAGCACCCGAAAAAGGGAATTTCTTCCGCGCCAAAGATGCACTTGTATGCACTAGCATACAGCTTATTCGTGCGCGTGCACTCGAGCACCGCTCGTAAATGAGCGATGTAGCTCTCTTCATCTGTCGTTTCCGTTTCGTGCTTCGCACGACTGCGGACGAAGATGTCGTCAAAGTATGTCTGTGCATACGCCCGATGGGTACAATTGCCTCACAAGACAATTAAATGTTGCTGGTGTATTTGACAGCCCTTGGGGCTTCATCAGCCACTCCCAGAGCATCCCGCTCGGAGCACTCACCGCTGGAAGCGGAATAACACTCGCTCGCATGAGCAATTGATAATATTTATCGACCAAGTCGAGTGCGCTGTACTTCGCACAGCCAGCCATATAGTTCTGGAGAACATCCTTCCTAGGAATCGGTGTTTGTGTCGGAATGGAGGTAGCTTTTGGCTTATTGTAAGCGTGAACGATACGCTACTTGCCGTTCAGCTACCGGACACAGATCATGGGTGTCAAATGGGGAGACGTACTCTTACGCACAATTCCGGCATCGTGCTTAGTACGGAAAAAGGCGTCAAAGACGTCACAGTCTCTTTGGCAGGGGCCATTAGCGTGTTAC